TGGCAAGGGCGGCGGGGGGGCGGCGGGGGCAGCCATGTTAACGGGTCCCTCTCGCAGGCGGGCATCTACTGGCTCCTGCTGATGGACAACTACGCCGCCAGCTTCTCCCTGGTCATCATCTCCTGCATCATGTGCGTGGCCATCATGTACATCTACGGTAGGTGCAATCACCTACAGCCAATCAGCTGGCAGGGCTGCTCCAGCCAACCAGTGGGGAAGGGGATGTGCTAACTTCTGGCCAATCAGCATTTTGCTGTGTGCTAACTGGCTGAGCAGTGTAAGGCCTTTGGCCAATCAGGGCAGCCGTGACCCGAGGAGCCTGGTGGGTCCCACCACCCAAGGTCTCGAGCTGGTGCTGGGCAGGGGTGGGAGGGGTGCTCGGGGTCCCACGGGGGCCATAGCCCAGCCATGCTGGGGCTGACAGCCACTTGTCTCCACAGGGCACCGCAACTACTTCAAGGACAGTGAGAGGATGCTGGGCTTCCCACCCCCACTCTTCTTCCAGATCTGCTGGCGCTTCATCTCACCCGCCATCATCTTTGTGAGCATCACAACCATGGGGCACGGGGCCATAGGAGGAGGGGGCCAGCAGCCCACCTTGGCCCCCCACTTGCCCATCCTTGGGAAGGGGGTGCCAGGCTGCAGGGGGGGCAGCAGGGATGGGGCAAAGTGGGACAGTTGGGCGCGTTGCAGAGCAGGCTGGCTGCTCTCCACTGGCTGGGGCTGCCAGGCTGCAGGGGGGGCAGCAGGGATGGGGCAAAGTGGGACAGTTGGGCGCGTTGCAGAGCAGGCTGTCTGCTCTCCACTGGCTGATCCTGCCTGTCCCTCCCCAGTTCATCCTGGTCTTCACAGTGATCCAGTACCGGCCCATTTCCTACAACGACTACGTCTACCCTACCTGGGCCATCAGCATCGGCTTCCTCATGGCGCTCTCCTCTGTCATCTGCATCCCCATCTACGCCATCTACAAAGTGTGCCGCTCCGAGGGGGACACGCTGCTGGAGGTGGGTGGTCAGGGGCTAGACCCTCTTGTCCAAGTGCAGCCTGAGGCTGCCTGCAAGGCTGTCCCCCACCCCGCTGGAGCTGTCAGCACCCCACAGTGGCTGTGTGCAAGCAGCATCCATGGGGCACCCCATCTCCGGGCATCCCTGGGAGCCATTGGCATGGTGGAGGAGGCTGGGGCAGGAGAGGAAGGTGGGTGCTGACCCTGTCCTCATCCTCTCCCTCTCCAGCGCTTGAAAAATGCTACCAAGGCAAGCAAGGACTGGGGTCCAGCGCTGGCAGAGCACCGCAGTGGGCGCTACGCCCCGGCGTTCAGCCCCTCCACCGAGTCTCACCTGGAGGTGCAGCCTCTGCCGACGGAGCAGGG